AATTAAAGTGATTCACTGATTTTATGGTAATTATTACTGTAAAAATTACGGTATATCACATTTGTGTTTGTTCCGAAACATATTCCGGTAAAAATGTATTTTACGGTAAAAAATACAGCCATCCTGAGTGCCGGTACTTTTAACCGTAATTTGTTACGGAATTTTTTACAGCGTAGATTTAATTACATTTTAGTGAAGACAATGTGCTTTCGTCTTTTTATTGTATAGTTCGAATATCAAGATTAACAGATCAAAATAGTCGATCAATAACTAAATAAAAAGATCCACCGTTCCATCTTCAACCAAGTCTTGAAAGTTTTAAGTGTATAAAATTGACTCATTCTTACAGAAATATTAAAATATGCTCGTTTTTGCTTTAAATCATTTTGTTTTCCCCTAAAAGGGAACTAAGTTTGGCATGCTTGCCTCAGAAGGATAACATATACGCACGAGTATGCCTTAAATTAATTATGGTGAGTTGTCACGTTATGTTTTCTTAACATCAGTAATAATTTCATGGCATAAATATTGTTAATAGACTGTCATGAACAAACATAATAAACACAGCTTAAAGCGAAATAATAATACATGTTCACATGAAATGTTAAATAAACTTCCACATCTGATTCCTCTCCGTACACAGTTTCATTCTGAAAGCAGATTCATTTTTTTTTATTACACAGCTTTTTATTGTGTTGGTGTGTTTCAAGGTTAAAAAGAATTATAGCCAGTGTCTACAAATTGCTTTGAAAGGAAAAAAAGTAACCAGCTAAATCGTAATTCTATCTTCTTATGCTCTCATCTTTTCCGCACTTTTTATCTGATGAAGTTATAAGAATTAATGTTCTTTCTATGCAGTGCGCACGAGATACCATGTGATCTATGTAACTGGTTGCTTCAAGCATGCGCGAGCAATGAATGTGGTTGAATATGGCAACACCATGTTAAAGTTTATTTTTAAGAGAATTTAAGAGAAGACATGCCTTTTTTTAAAAATATTTCTTTGCAAAAAAAGATCATTTGCAAGACTGTAGAATCGTTCCTTGAAACGTTCGATTTTAAATCCAAGTATCTGTTAAATTCCCAGGGCTGAAATTTTTGCGTATTTGCGGGTGGAACTCGATATAGAAGCGCAGAACTGACAGGAGTTTGACAGCAAACTGACGTAATCTTGAATTACACACACACACAGTAATATATATATANCACTGATCATACTGCATTTTTCTTTGTTTTATTTTATAACCGTCGTTGAACAGCCAACCCAAATTTTTGGGCTTGTGACTACTAAGGAACTCCGTAACCTTGTAATTTTGAACCCAATCCAGAAGACAAGAGAACTCCTGGATCAAGTATTGGGAGGAATTTGCCTTCGCGAAGGACTTCTTGATGGATTTATTTTGAAGAGACAATTAATAGGGTGGAAAAAAAAGCATTATTAAATTTAAAAAAAACTACGCTAGAAACTTGTGATAAATTTGACACTGATCTTGTGATCGTGTTTTGAACTTTTTCATCTCACCGTAAATTAATTTTTCCTCCCCCAATAAAGCCTGCAATTATTCCCCCTCTCTCATCCTTTAATAACTTCTCCTTCAATTACCTCCCTAAATGAAGGGGTAATTTAATGCAGAAGCTTACACAACAAGTGAGCGAAAAGGGAGCTTTAAAATAAAGCTAAAAGATCTGTAATTGCAATAAATTAAAATTTAGATTACGTTTTTTTTCTCTTTGTAAATGTTTAATTTACAAATTCCATGCACTGTATTTTATCAATTCTATTACATATTTGCGAAAACTAAATTGTGACTCACATTTTATGCAAAGTAGATGATATTTAGTATTAAGTACAGAAACAAAATGCTATTCTACTTTTGTAATGCTACTAGATCAATTAAATGAGTGATTAATAGAAAGAATAATTATTGTACATTACCTTTCCTATTTGGCAATTTAACTAACGGAAAAAACGTTAAATACAAACGAAATCATTTTTTAAAATTTAGTTGGTTATTTATGGGACGAGAAAAAAGGATTGTCATCTTATTCTCAATTGATCAAAATATCATCGAAATGTCGTAGAAAAATTAACAAAAGATACAGGAGTAATTGGAACATTTTCTTTCTTTTCTTACTTTCTTTTTCTTCTTTCTTTTTGCATTTCCCAACCATTTAAAAGTAATTTAAACGGAAATCAATTTAATTTCAAAGCTATTTAACTTATTTAAAGCTCGATATTTAAATCAGATAATTTAACAGCCGTGATCTTGTTGTTGAGACGATAACAGATAATCATATAAGCACATCTCAATTCCAATGAAGCGCTTACACAAATGGAGTAATACACGGTAAAAAAAAAAAAAAAAAAAAAGACAGAAGATATAAGAGTTAAACAAGNAAAAAAAAAAAAGGAATAAAAAGCATTAATAAAAATCTAAATCTGACTTCATATGGAGTGAGAAAAAAAATATGATCCACTAAATAAGAAGTAATATGAAACCGAAGGGTAATCAAAGAGCCGTAAAAGAACTCTTAACATTTCCGTAATTTGGGAAAAAACAAGGGAAGACAAGCCGTTCATCTTTTCTCGACTTCTTTCAAAGGCGTGTTAATCAAAATACAGGAAAGGAACTTATCTCTGTGCTTTTTAGACTTTTGAAGTCTTAAGTGATCGGAGAAAAGAAAAAGACGCGATTTATCTCACATCCTAATTTAGGTTTTTTGCCTTTTTTTCTTCCATGGTTGTACGGCTGTCTTCCATTAATTTATAATTTTTTTCATGCGTATCTTACATTTATGCGTCCTCCGCTCCCACTACTTATCAAACAACGCATCCGCTTTTTCGCGATTCCCAAATAAAGACAATTTTATTATTCACCATACATTTTTTCTCTATTTTTCTCGATACGAGATTCACAGTAAAAGTTTTCGGGTCAAATAAGTAAAAAGTACTCTAATACTTTTTACCGTAAAATCCATTTTTACCTTTAAGTCTAATTTGCTGTTTTACAGTAATCAGTAATTTTTTACAGTAATATTTACTGTAAAATTTTTAGATCACTGCAATTAAATAAATATTAGGGGAGAGTGGGGTCAATTGTAAAATTTTTTACTTAACTATTTTTAACTAACAAAAAATCCAATATATTATTAGTATTAGTTGACAGACGAGTAAAGTAGACTATCCTCTACTAGAAAGAAAAATAAATACCTAATTTTAAATGTTATTATATTAGTTATTAACAATTTTTGACAGTCGAGCACTTGTTACAATTGTCCCCACTTACGGGGTCAATTGTAACAGTTCATAAATTTAACTAAAACATAGTTAATTATACATAGTATCATAGTTGTGATATATTTCTTTATTGATCAAAATAGTAGTGATATTTTAGGAGTAAAAATAATAATGAGCAGAGACCTAAAGGGTTAAGCTTTTAACTTTAAGGGGTCAAAAATTTTAATTTATGCTGTGAGAGGTGACAAATAAAATAATGCACATGCAACATAAATGATGTAGGAAACTATTGGTGGTTCTTAAAGAGTTAAGTAATGGTTTGTAAACATAAGATTATTTATTTTCAGCTGTTACAATCGTCCCTTTACTTATTGTTACAAATGTGCCCAAGACGCCATTTCAGCTTCATTTGTTAAAAAAAATGCTAGTTAATTAACTAAACTAATTTTTTTTATTGAAATGTTAATTAAGCTGTCCGCTTACATATTCGGTTAAAAACTTTTATTTGTTTAAACAAAATTACTTTGCTACAATATAATATTCTAATACCAAAAAAAGTACTTACGTAGCGTGAAAATATCTTTTGTGATGTAACTCTTTCAAAAGTACATAAAAATGATTGCCATCAGGGGTGTACATGCAGATTTATTAAATACACCTTGTGCGCCACCTAGGAACCAAATCTAGAACCCGACACTCGAAATTTTTGCTCTGTTACAATCGTACCCTGTTACAATTGACCCCACTCTCCCCTACTGTAAAAATTAGGGTATAAAATTTTACGGTAAAATGGATTTTACGAATGCTGCACACAGGTACAGTACTTTTAGCCGTAGTTTGATCCGGAATTTTTTACAGTGTGTGAAACTAAATTTAATTAAAAATTGTTCAAGAATAATCAGAAAAAAAGTTTTATAGAATACAGTTTTACTTGCCTACAAATAACAAATAATATTTTTTTATGTTTTAATTAAAATTGAAAACAAATGTTGTTATTTAAAATATTTGTTTATTATTATAACAGCCTAGTTGTTGAAAGAAACACGGGCTTCCTAAAACAATATTTTATTTTTCATTTTCATGCTAATTCCTTACAACTTTTAAGATCATTATTTCATAACAAAATCAAATGTTAAAAATAAAATGTTCTGAAAATTAATCCACTGTTCATCAACAACAAGTGCCTATAAAAAGCTGATTCTTAAATTATTTTAATTATTTTTTTATCCATAACAAGTGTTTAATTATTGTATATATTTATTTTGATGATTTTTTGATCAAAAATAAATGTAACTAAGCTTTATCTAAAATAATTTCAATGATTTTTTTGATCAAAAATAAATGTTACTGAGCTTTGTCTAAAATCAATTTAATGATTTTTTGATCAAAAATAAATGTTACCAAGCTTTATCTAAAATAATTTTAATAATTCCTTAATAAATAACAAGTATCATAATGAAATTATTCTAAAAATAACACCATTTTTTTCCTTATTAAAAGTGCAAAAAAGAACCGTATCATAAGAAACTTCTGAAGCACAAGTTTAATAATAATTTTATTTATTTCCAGATGAATGACAGAAAAGGAAAATAATAACTGATGACTATTTACTAAGTAATGGGAAAAAACCCTCGATATGTATAACGAATATAGTATAGTTTTTGTTGAAACGGCTAAAATCAACTGTTAATGGTTTTTAAATTACTACTATTTAGTATATAATTCACTTAATAGTAAGTAAAAGATTATGAAAAGTTCTTACCTGTTTAAAATCATAAAGTGTAACGGATTTCTCAGGTGTTCTTGGACTCATATTGATCACATATTCTGTCTGAAATTAAAAACGTCTAATTTTATTTATAATAAAATAAATTTAAATGGTTTAAAACAGTTAATTTGATTATTTTTTTTAAAAAAAGGCATACGTCAGTAAATTGAAAAAAAATTATCTTCTTTAATTTATAGGTTAATTTTCGAGTAAATCAAAATAAAAATGTAACGGACTTGACAGGCGTTCTTGGATATAACATATTGATTCATATTACATATTCTGTCTGAAATTTTTAATATCAAATTCTATACCAAAATAGTAAAATAAATAAAATTTTTAAAACTGTGGATGACATTTAAAAAAAACACGTTAGTCTATTGAAAAAAGAATAAAGTTAATTAATTAATTTACCGTTAAGTAAATATAACTAAACAAATGTACCATTACTTCTGCATCAAAAAAGATTATTTGAGTGCTACATTTAACTCCTTTTTTAAATTGCCAAGAATTCTGCTTCAAACTTTTTTTTGTACAAAAATTCACAATCTGCAAAATATCGTAGAAAAAAAATTTCATAAATGCTACAATATTGAATCGTACTATAAGGATAACAACTTCAAAAATACACTTTAAGATGACACTCTAACACAGTGCAGTGCTAGTGATAGTTGTAACAATTAAATTAAAAGTTTGAGAGGAACTCTTACATCCGATATTTTTTTTTTCCCGATCAATGCAGTTGTTGATGTTTGGCTGAAAGACCAAAATTCAACATTTTTGGTTAAAACTTCAATAGTTACGGCCTTTTCTGTTTCGATTTTTAGTTAACATAATTGAAACTCTTGCATTATGCATACTTGATGATGACATAATTTCAAAAATAGAAATTAAAAGATGAAACAATAGTAGTTGATTTTAAATTAAACAATGTTACATTCAATATATAACATATTAATGATACTCGTAATAGGAATTTTTTTAATGGTAGCAAGTTAATAAAACAAGTTATTTAAAAAAATGTATCAATTCGATTTAAAATATCCTTTCTACTACTCACCTATTTTACAATCACAATGTATTGAGTGTAAGAAAATAAAAATCATCCAGTGATTGGGTTTTCTCATATTAATAAGTAATCTAAACCAAGTCAGTCTAATAGTTGCTGAGAAGTAAAACATTAATACAGGCGTTTCGATCACTATGAAACTAATTGAAGAATGTTATTTAAGGAATTAACTTTGGATAAACGCGCATGAAATAATACGAGCAAAAGTTAACGAATATTCTCAAACAAACGAGCTAGTATTTGTATGATCATTAGATTAAAAATTATTCAAGATGCATACTTTTTTTTCATACTTGTTTGAATTTATTTTTTTAATTTATAAAGTTTTAGAACATTACTAATATTAGAGATAAATACATAAAATAAAGGAACCTATTGTGGCTTATTGAAATAAAATTTTTGAATGAAATGTATGAAATTTACTTTCTATGGTGATACTTGCCTGTTTTTTATCGTCTAAGACAACTGTTACTGGAATAGTTTGATCCCCATTCTTGTATCTCACTACGAAAGTCTGAAATAAATAAATAAATAAATTATTTATGAAATCAAATATCCGTTAAATATAGGATAGATAATAAATAATAATAGCAGAAAACAAACTCCTCTTTAACAAAATTTAAATATCGTTGTCATTAAAAAAAAAAAAAAAAAAAAAAAAAAAATTTGCTGTCATTTATTGAGCATAAATGANAAAAAAAAAAAAAAAAAAAAAAAAAAACTAAAATAACTAAATACTCCATTTAAGATGAATCTTCATATAATCATATTGAGTCGAATCAGATCTAAAATAAATTGAAACCTCATCATATAAAAATGATTTACTTTATAATCCTATTTAAGTGAACTTATTGAGTATTTTTTTAACAATAATTTTAACGATTACCTGCATTCTGGTTCAAATCTGGAACTACAAAGTTGTATAATCTTTCCATAATAGTATTTTTTTTTAAAAAAAAGGCTGTTTTTGCCCACACTAAACCAACCACGCGAGGCTAATGTGGAGAAGCTATGGGACTAGTGTAAACAAACTCGGTAATTTATTATGTAGTTTTTACAATCAATTCAGAAAGGTGTATCTAAAGCCAAAAGGAAATTAATTTCAATCTAAGCCTTATTGGAGAATATATTCACTTATATTAATTAAAATACTAATAGAGCATTAGAAAGATTTTTTTAGAGCAAATCAATCGATTTCAAAATCATTTTTCGATTTGATTTATTTGATAGAGTAGAACCAATTAAGTTGAATCAGTTTCAGTAACCATAGTTTTAACTTGATAATCCGAATGGACAACACGCGGATCGCGTGACTAAACGATATTCTCCCTCACTGGAGCAATGGAACAACTCGCAAAAGAGAAGACGATACTGTTCGCTGAAATTCTGTTTTAGTTTTATGTATGGTGAAAATTAATTCATTTATTTAAAAATATATTCTTTTAACAAAACTTGATAAAACATCTATCTTTTATTTTCTTACAATGCTTTAATGAGGGAATTATTATAAAGGTTTCGTTCCAAATATTTAACTTAATAATGAAACCATTAATTAATTGTAAAGGTATATAATTCTATTTATATAATAAAAATAATAATACAAATATGTTATATTTGTACAAATATAATACAAATATAACAAATATATCCAAGATGTCTACAATAACCTCCCTCTCCCCTATTGTGCTTTAATATTTATAAAGATGATATTTTAAAATAGATATTTTAGAAAGCTATAGTCCATACACCAAGTCAAGTTTGTGCAGAAACATCTAAAACCTTTATGCTTCACAATTGATGTGTAATTGCAAAAATATTTAAATTACAAAACATTTATGCTAAATAGTTGAATAAAAAATAATCACTTTAAGAAGAACGATTTATGATACGTGTCAAAAAAGTGGCAATTGGGAATTAAAGAGGAGTTTGTTTTGACCAAAGGAATGAAAATAAAAACCATGCCTATGACCATCGATTTATCAAAAGGGATTTTACTGTAGCATTATCATAAATTAAAAAGGCCAACAACGTCACCCATGAGTCCACAATTAGGATTTTTCCATGGGTAGTGAATAATACTTTCGCTGGAATAATTAATTTGGTTTCTATTTTAAACTAGTGAGATGATAATCACTAATTATATCACTAATAGTTAAGAATAAATAAATAATAAATAAATAATAAAAAAGTTACATGTTTAAAATGATGAGCTATAGTGAAATGTAAAAGCTAAATTGACACGGGTAATTTTAAATGAAGATTTTAGTTAATTGTAACTACAGCCATGTGGTTACTAAATTAAGAGATGCGAGACGGGGTGGCTCAGGGGATTGAGAGTTTGCCTTCTAATGAGGTGACACAAGTTCGAATACCAGCAGCGGCTGGTTGATATGAATTCATCTCCCTACTCACACCGACCATAGTGCTGAAGTAAAATATCTTCAAAGGTACACGGATCATTGGTTAGAATTCTCTTACCATTGGACTCACCGTGGGAGGTTTTCGCGGTTTTCCACTCCATGTAATGCAAATGCTGATTAGTTCCATCAAAAAGTTCTTGAACGCAGACTAATGTGTTCTAACGCTAGATCCAGGAGTTCCCTTGTCTTCCGGGTGGGTTCAAAATGCGTGGAGTTGAACATTACGAGGACGAGAAGTTGAACATTGAAAGTCGTTAACTCAGAATTGGGTCGGTTGTTTAACGGCGGTTATAAAATAAAATAAAATTAAGGGATGCACTTCAGCTCTTTATTAATTAAAAGTAAAGGAAAAAAGACGTTGCTGAGAGATAAAAAATTTTTTTTTGCATCTTTAGTTTTTATTTATATATTTTTTATTTTTGAAAAGGAAAAAAAATTGACACAGTTTCCTTTCGTTATGGAAATGTTGAACTTATAAATCTAGGATAGTATGATAAGAAATGAATCACACCAAATGATAAGTGTCGTTTCTGAACGTCAGATTGATCATAAGAAATATAAAATCCACAAGAAAAAACAAGATTATAAATAGTCTCTTCATGGTTTTTTAACGCTGAATAGAGTAAAAAATTGAATGTGACAAATATGTCAATTGTGTATGGTCGTCTGAGGAAATGAGAGGCGGTAAATGTCAGAAAGGGTGAGTCTTCAGTGTCATTTTGGAGGAGTAACACAGTATACACACTGCAGGGGGTACGTGTTAATTTTTTTTCCCTAAAAAACGCCACCCGAACGGAATTTATGGATTGCACGTGAAATTAAAGACGAAAAATACAAATAGGGAATCATATATGTTTACGAAACTTCAAAGATAAAATCAGAAGCTCAAAAATTGTGCTTTGTTTTAAACTCTTCACAGGAGCGACATATGTTTGACCTACTTATAGAAAAACGATTTATTATGTACATGTAACCGCAATGTCTAATTTGATGTCTAATGTAATGTTCAATTGTATAACGCATATTGAAAAATGTATATCGTATACTATGTATTGTATAATGCCAAAAACTAGCCTGCAATGTATGAAACGATTCATATTTCACAACATTTACCAGGCATTCTATAGAATACCAAAGAAGAAACGGCAAAGAATGAAATACAACTCCGATTCGTTTCGAATATGCCGGTAATGTTATTCGAATAATTTTTTTTAAATGGCAATATCATTTTTTCAGAATAACATTTTTATAATTGTTAAATTCACGTCATTTATATAACAGCCTTATCTGCACCTTTTTTTTATACTCTGACTAAATAGCAGTTGTCATTCTATAGAATAACCTAGTTATTACATATGATGCCTAGAAAAAATTACGTAATAATTCTCATATTTCATACTTAACCTAAAAACGTCCGGCATAATGTACAATGTCCAGTCCTTCCATATAATGACGGCGTTTCATATTTTGCCAGTAACATATATATTATTTTTTTTATTATTTATAATACATGCAGGATAAGACATGTTATAAGTTATAGCATGCCTTTTCTTGCATGCATAAGTTATAGCATGCCTTTTCTTGCATGCATAAGTTATAGCATGTCCTATCCTGCATTATCCATTAAAATTATAACTGTTATTGAAATTATTTATTGAATATTGAAAGTATGTGTACAAAAGATTTAGATCAAGATGTGGCCACAGTAAGAAAGATTTGACTCAAATTATTAAAAATAAATTATAATAAAACTATTATCATGTTACATTAAATACTTAATTCACTATTTATACCATTCCTTATTTATTGTACAATTCAAAACTGGTGTATTTCATAAGACAGTTTTCAAAAGCTATCGCCATAAGACATCTTGACTTTAAGGGAAACTCCACATGTCTGAATTCACTCTTTAGTTAACATCCAATAGAATCTAATAGTTACGTATTCCAATAGAATTGTGGTGATAAATGACCTTTAAATCTTGAAAATATTATAATTTTGAATGAAATCAGTCGGGTTGCATTTCCCGTATAGTCAAACGTCCCATATAATTTTATTTCTTACCTTATTAATTTTTCATTTGCTTACATTAAATAAACATAATAGTAATAATGTCACTGGGGAACAATTTATTTGTTGCATTTATACAAATACTCAGATTTTAAATATCTGACTTTTTTGAAATTTAATTTTTCAGGAACAATTCGACCAATTTTTCTCAAATTTTGTACTTTGACATGTAAAATTATATTCTTTAAAGTGATACAAAAAATTCTATACCTTATAATTCAAAATTTTTTTCAACTACTATCAAATAAAATAATAATAAAATTATAAATACTTACTAAAAATAATTTTTTGCGTGGAATTATCTTTGGATAAACGAATTTTATAACTGTTTGCAATTTTTTTTCCCATTCGCTTAAAAAGTTTTTGAGATATAGCGAAATACACAAAAAGTAAAATTATCATTAAGGGATTCAAACTTTGGAGCGCTCTCCTGATCAAACTATTGGGACCATATTTCCCAGACTGCTGCTCCCCCCTATATTTTGAGGGTCAGAAATCCGAATTCGCCGGGGGGGGGGAGGCATGTTTATTCAGCGAAAGTATGATTTTGTGTCTGATTTCGACTGATTCTGACTTAAAATATCTTCTGTTCTAATTAATTAGCATATAGGCTACATTCACGTTACCCCCTCGAGTCCTTAAGATTGAATTCTAGAATGTGAAAATCCGATCATTAGATCAAAAGTTACCTAGGAAGGTCCGTTTTTTTCCCCCTTTCAGTACACGCTTAAAAACATTATGTGTCCGTTAGTTGCTCTCCCATATTATGAGCTGTTTCAGTGAGTGCTTCTGAACAGGTACTTTTATTTAACTAAATTATTGCAATTTTATGTTTTCCTTTAATTATTGTTAAAAATTGCATGCAATAAAATTCAGTATTAACTGTTTAATCGTAATTCACTGATTCGGTGACTAACTTGACAATCTGACCAAATCATTAAATTATGATAAAACAGTTAATATCAACTTATTTGAAAGTATCTAAAAACTGTTTTAAAAAAATCTCATGCAATAAAAAACGAAA